GGGGGGGGGGGTGCAGGGACTCAAGCGGGAAGTTCTTACTGCTCAGGCGCAGGCATCTCCGAGGAGCAGCTTCGGGGCGCTCCGCGGGCTCCCTCGGCCCGGCGCGCTCAGGAACCCCAGCTGGGAAACGAGCCGGCCGGAGAACAGCTCCGGGATCTCCGGGCGGCAGAGAGGCGACTGGAGCGTCTGTCCCTCGCTGTTCATTTTACTTTGCCGCTGCCCAGCTGGCTGCCAGAGCCGGAGCCTCCCCGCTACCCAACAGTCTCCGGTCCTAAAGTATTTGGAATAGTGGAGCCCGTCCCCCGCCGCCACTCTGTGACCCTCGTGTCCCCGCTTTCTGCCTCCGTCTCGCACTCTCTCCTCTCTTGCCTTCCTGAGCCCCCTCCCTGCGCGCCCCGTCTCTACCCTAGCCTTCCCTTCCAGCCTCCCGCTCCCGTCCTGCACCCTTTCTCCATCCCTCTGTGTGCTGCTCAGACAGCCAGTCTCCCTCCCTCCCTCCCACGCTAACCCTCCCCTCCTAACGCGTCCCCAACCCCGGGTGCCTCTTTCCTCGGGGTGCCCGCCCCCTCCCTGTGGCTCAGCGTCTTAGCGCTCAAGCCCCTTTGTCCACATCCTTAGGACTCCTGGCTACACACACCCGCCCCCGGGTCAGACCAGCATTGCAACAAATCCCTCTGCCCCCCACCCAGCCAAATTCCAGGGGAACATTCTGCCCGCCATTCCTTTATATTCCTATCAAATTCTTGGGTAGAGTCAGCACCACCGAGTGGCAATAGGAGACAAGGAAAGGAGNAGGGGGGCTGTCAACCCGGGGTCAGCATGTAAATTACTGTAAACTGAAGGAAAGAAGATGGAGTGTCTTAGCTTTTTAAAAACCACCCCCATTCTTCATTTTACTTTGGACTCCCTTGGGGAGGATGTTGCCTGGGGCTTCTTTTTTTAACCTTGGAGAATTGGGGGGAAAGGAGTATAAAGGACGTGTCAAAAGATGGGTAAATAGCTCCAAATGAAAACACTCAGTTCCGTATGTATTCTACAAACACAGGCACACATGCCTCGCCATCACCTTTACGGGGTTTTTTTCTTCTTATTTCTTATTTATTGTCAACAGTATTACAGATGCTCCCCATTCCCATTTTTAATGTGTAGCACAGATCTGATCACTGCAGTCCCTGGTACAGAAATGGAATGACACACAATGTCTCATCATTTGTCTCATTAGTGCTAACAGACTAAAATTTGCATTTCCAGAGTGAACATCTTTTTACCTCACACTTTGAAAATACATTTTAAGTATAGTTTCATTTTATCTTCACAACCGTGTGAAAGGTAGATATCCAATAAATCCACTTACAAATGAATAATAGCTAAGTTCCTTTGTGCAAAGAATGGTGCTAAGCATTACATATANGGTCCCCACCACCACCACCACCTGCCTCCCCTCTAAGGTCTGTCAGTCTGTCCCAGGCATCCATGCCTCCGGACCCAAATTCAGTGCCCTTTGCCACCTCCCTTAGCTTTGTGGCGAGTAAATTTAGAGAAGGGCATCGTTTGTCTATGTGTTGTAAATGAGGTCACGTGGCGTTTTGCTTTTCTTACCAGAGCCTGCAAACCTCCAAGGGGGAATGTGGCGGAATCCCTGGTCGCTGGCCCCTGCGTTTCTCTGAAACTCCGAAGCCGGGTTCAGCACCCGGGACAGCTCCAGGCAGTCAGGGCTTGTGCCGCCACCTGCCGGCAATGCTGTGCAGCGCCATCGAGGAACCCTTGTCTTGCAAAAATTAAGCAGGTATTGAGGAAATCCCGTAACTTCAAGCAAGAAAGAGACGGTTATTAAAAGAAAAATAACATTGAGTTATGCATTTTTCTCCTATTTTCTTTTAAAAAAATTTAGTGTCCTCTTTGCTCTTAATCATGTATACCAAGCTTGTATTTTCTAGCTCTTTTTGAAAGCCTCCAGCATCTATCATTCCCAAATTTTCTCTAGGAATGCGGTTTTAATAGACCTCAGCAAACACGTTCACACCTTCATCTGTGTTGGGTTTTGTGCCAACAAAGCCTGCGCTTTGGGACTCACACATTTGTACACATTCACCAACAGGGGGGAAAACCAATATTGGATTTTCGAAATGGGGATGACTTCACATAAAAAATAAAGAGGCTGCTATTGGTTGGTTCTAAGCTGCTTCCTTTACCGAGGAAACCATATTTAATCCCATTTGAACATGGGTACAGAATGAGATTCCGAAGCTCTAGGCTAGATATATAACATAATAAAATTACCTATACAGCCTGACTGCATGACTGAAGTAAAGGACAAGTGCAGGATGCACCCCAAAAGCAGGTGACTCTAGATAGCGTGCACAGACTCACTCCAAATAGCAATCGTCTTAATATTGTGTTCAAGTTTGAGCTCTGAATTTCATAGCTTTCAGTTTTTCAAGACCAAACAAAAGAGCAATCACCAAAGCATCAAAGAGAATCTAATTGGGCTGATGCACACAGTAAAGGGCATTGTGTTTGGAAATGGATTGTTTTACAGTGCGGTGCTGGGCACAGTTTCCACTTAATCTCTTCAGCATGCCACAGTAATGAACCTGGCATTTGTAATGATTCATGGCACTGAAAAAATCAGAGATGAGTATAACATGGTGATTCTGGCTATAGACTCTTTGAAAATTTTTGAAGGTTCTCATTCCCCCTTTTAAAATTTCCTGACAAATACAGAACTAAATAGCTTTGTTAAAATACAGTTGCAGGTCCAAAAGTTATAATAGGAAAATAATTAAAACCCTGCTTCTCCAAAAATAAAGCTTTGGAAATATAGTTGATAAGTATAAACAAAGAGTAAAATAAATTTAAATTTTAAAAAGTAAATATACACATCAGTATATATACATATACATACTTAATAGTAAATATGTACAAGGACAGACTTGAATAGGAATTGTGTTCGATTTAGCACATGTAAATAAATATATGTCAGTAAATATGTCAGCCAGCAATTGTGCATTCTTCTATTAGATCCCAAATGGTTTAATAACTCACAAATTTATTTTTTTTCAAGAAAGGTAAAATGCTATAAATCTGAACTTAATATTCATGGGATCTGGCATTTGCTGTTCTGCTTTAATACTCTGTGATGCAGCATTTCATTCAAGTCAAATCAAAGCTCAAGTAGATCATGCATTCCTTCAAAATAAGGTACTTACTATTTCAAACATTTCATTCCTTAAAATTTATAACAAGTTTCTAAGGCATTCTGATGAGCACTAGGGGAAAAGCGAAAGTATAAAAGGCTATACAGCACTGACTATGCTCCCTGCCATACCTTTCAAGTGACTAATAGTGACTAATAAATAATTATGTATAACTTTTATCGAATGATTCTGTGATATATATTAAAAGCAGAATGATGTCGCACTTCATTGTGTTCATGCTTTGCCAAGTCTCCTGTGTTAACCCTTCAAGATAAAGAAACACATACAAAAAATGGTGCAAACTGAAGATCCTGGGTAAAGAGTTAGGTTCTGGTTCTTTGAAGCCTCTTAAATTAGCCTAAAGAAAAGTTAGCCTTAAAGCAGGTATTCTTGATGACATCATTTGAAAACAAAACTTCCAGTCATTTTACTTTTATTTCTTGTTTGAATTTACTAGATGCAGGTATGAACTTGTCAGTTATAGATCTGGAGTATGATACATCATCCGTCATATGAAATTCCTCTAATGTCATTTATGGGAGATAAAGATTTTTAACATTTTTACAGGAAATTTGATATAAGCCCAGCATTTCAATGTAGTCCTTTGACCAGGGATATAAGATAAAAAGATATTAAGATGCACTTTTGCAGAATGTCCTATCATTATCGAAGGCTCAGTAATGGCTGAGTTCTTAATAATTGGTATGTTTATCCATCATCCTCAAATTATGGCTGATTTTTTAACTTAACCTGTATATTAAAGAGTTGAAATTTTACATAGGAAATTACAAAAGTGATTTATAAGTTCCTATTTAAAACCTTTGTACATTTCAAGTAATTGGAATAGAGTAGATTATTTTTTAAACTACAAATACCATTCTGAATTTAATTCCCTCAATCCTCAAACACTAGAGCCATAGGGCAATTGTAGTTTTACCAGCACTGTGAATTTTTACTGTAATTCACCAGGAAAAGAAACTTTAAAGAGAAATATTTGCTTAAATAACTTAGAAATGCAGTCTTCTGATTATCAGTGAGAATTAACTGGTCATTTGTAAGAAATGTGACCAAAATGCCAGAGAATAAATTCTCCTTTAAAACCGAACATGCTTTCTTTTTGTGTCTAATCCTCACTATCCACTTTCCTCTGATGATATCATTCCTTCAGTGCTATTTCTACCCTGTCAGGCACTTCTCAGAGGCTCAGAACTGGGTTTTCAGGGGAAAACACAAACAATGGAAGCCCCACTCTCTGCTCCTGAGACCTGTAACATTGGCTTGGCTCATTTAATACACATGCTAAAAACACAGCATGTAGAAAGTGAAAGCATCATGTATTCATTAAGTGTGTGACCTTGGGCAACTTATTCAACCCTTTTGTTTTCTCAGTGGTAAAGTGGGTGTAATAATAGACTTGTGAAGGTTAAATGCACTGCTAGCCCATAATAAACAACCAATATAGGTTCAGCAGTAATAGTAATAATAGTGATGCAAAAGCAATAATACTCGCTCTATTGATAATTTCTGAGAAGTTCGAGAAAGAATTATGTGGGTTTAATGAAAGAGCAAGAGCCTGAAAAAGAATTAAGGCCCTTTCAGTCAAGGATTTATTATGAAAACAATTTGCACATGACTGTGACATTCTCCCTACTCCTTAAAGTATTTGGAAAGCTTTC